GATCCAGTTGATTACTGGACGTTTATGAATAATTTTAAGATCAATGTAGCATCTAAGTTATCTAATGATAACATTAAACTGCAGTACCTCCTGCAGTTATGTAAGGGTAAAGCCCGCAGTTGTATAGACAGCTGTCCTTTGATGGAATCTGGAGGCTACGATAAGGCTCTTGATATATTAAGAAAACAGTTTGGCCAGCCTCACATAATATTAAGTGCTTTGATGAGTGATATGCTTAATAGAAAGCAAATCAGTGTAGGTGACGGTGAAGCACTATGGTCACTTGTTAGCGTAATGAAGAAATGCAATGTAACGTTAACTCAAATGGGGTACACTAGCGACCTCAAAAGTACGAGCAATCTATTAAAGGTTCAATCGTTATTGCCTACTGCTTTGCAGAACAAATGGGCAAATGTAGCTCATGATATTTTAGAGAGTAGTGAACCCACATTTTTGGATATGCTTAAGTTTGTAGAAAAGCAAGCAGAAATATCGTGTAATATGTTCAGCAGAAGTGTTGGTAAAGCTGGGAGTAGATTACATACACCCAAAGAAGTAGAAAGGCCGAAAGTTAGGACTAATGTTGTTAAAACTTCGAAGCGTTCTGGGTTCATGAAGAAAGGCGAGGTCAAGCGAAAGAACCATACGCCATTAGAACCTCCCTTGGATGGTGCGTAATGGGTCCAGGGAATGCTACAAAGAAAAAACTGATCTCCAATCGAATCACTGTTTCTGTGACGAATGACCAACTGATGCAGCAGTTGCAGTGTACGTGGGAACTAGACAATAAAGGCTTAGAAGTTAAAGAAGATTCTGTTGAAGACAGAAAAGCAAGAGATATCTTAGCTACAACGACAACTTTGCTAGATACCAAACACTACGAATTAGGACTTCTTTGGAAGTATGATAGTCATCCCTTACCATGTAACAAGCCCATGGCAGAGAGTAGGTTGGCGAGTTTGAAACGTAAACTAGACCGAGATGATGACTTGAAGAGTAAATATGTCGAGACTGTAGAAACGTACATATCGAAGGGACATGCCGAACCAGTCGTAGGCCAGAAAGGTGTAGAAGGTAATGTGTGGTATCTACCCCATCATCCAGTGAACCACCCACGTAAAAACAAAGTAAGAGTGGTGTTCGATTGTGCCGCCAAATGGAGAGGTGTTTCGTTGAACGACAACTTGTTGAAAGGGCCAGAAGTAATCAGCAACTTGGTAGGCGTACTCTTAAGATTTCGGCAAGAGCGCATTGCTTTGGTAGCTGACATAGAGTCTATGTTTCACCAAGTTCATGTTAAACCAAGTGATAGGGACGTACTACGTTTTCTATGGTGGAAAGATGGCGATACTTCAAAGTCACCAAGTGAATACCGAATGACGGTTCATCTTTTTGGAGCTACATCCTCCCCGTGCTGTGCAGGGTATGCTTTGAGGCGAACTGCTGACGACAGTGAAAGCAAGCAAGTAGATGCTATTGGCAGAAGAGCTGTTGATGTGATCCGAAATGGATTTTATGTGGATGACTGCTTAACGTCCATCAGAGATACTAGTGAAGCTATAGAGTTAGCACATAAGTTGCGGAATATATTGCAAAGTGGTGTATTTCGTCTGACGAAATGGTTGAGTAGTGACCGTCAAGTTCTCGACACAATTCCAGAGACAGAAAGAGCACCATCTGTTCCTCTAAGTTTGGACCAGTTGCCGACTGAAAGGACGTTGGGAATTTGCTGGGATTCTGAGAATGATAGCTTCAAGTTTGAAGTCGAAACCAAGGACAAGCCGCCTACTAGAAGGGGAATATTGTCGGTGACCAGCTCAATCTACGACCCGCTTGGATTTGCAGCGCCATTTGTTTTATTTGCTAAGTCACTGTTGCAAACTGTATGTAGAAGAGGTTCTGAGTGGGATGAAGAACTCAAAGCACAAGAAACTGAGGTATGGAATCAATGGACCTCCAGTATCAAAAACCTACAAGACATCAAAGTTCCACGCTGGCTGAAATTAGAAAGTGCTGTCAGCATCCAATTGCACGTGTTCTGCGACGCTTCTGAAAAGGGATATGCTGCAGTCGCATACTTCAGAACAATTTCAGATAATAACAGTATTGATGTCAGCTTCGTAATGGGAAAGGCCAAGGTAACACCTTTAAAGAAAATATCTATCCCAAGGCTAGAATTATTAGCTGCAGTCTTAGCGGTGAAGTTAGATGGCATCGTAAGACGAGAGATTGCTCCTCGATTCAAGTTAACTGAGACTACTTTCTGGAGCGATTCTATGATTGTGTTAGGCTATATTAACAATGAGAGTAAGAGGTTTAAGACCTTTGTAGCGAATCGTGTGACAAGAATTAGAGAATCATCGCAACCACACCAATGGAGACATGTACGGAGTGAAAATAATCCGTCGGATGAGGGCTCCAGAGGTACTCTTAAGATAACCAAATGGGTTACAGGCCCTGACTTCTTGTCTAGCGATGACGATAACTGGCCGCAGACCTACATCACAGATACGAATATAGCTGATGATCCTGAGGTCAAACTCACAGTCTTCGCTCATACAACCAATGAGAGAACTGAAAATGCTGTATTGCAAAATTTGTCATCAAAGTTTTCATCGTGGATGATGCTACTTCGTGTGTACGCATGGGTGTTGCGTTTCGTCGAGAGAATCAGTAACAAGACGAGACCTGTTCAAGATTGCAGCCTTTCTGTAGACGAGATTAAGAACAGCGAAACTAAGATACTTTCTTGGTTACAAAAAACTGAGCTCAGTCACTGGAAAACTGACAAACGCCTGGCAAAATTGAATCCTGTTTTGATGGCTGACCTTTTAAGAGTAGGAGGCAGGATAAATCAAGCTAGGGTAAGCGAGAATATGAAACATCCTGTGATACTGCCAGCAAACACTGACATCACTCGACTTATAATCAGGCATCATCATGAAGCTATGGGCCATGGAGGTTGGGCTTCGACTCTTAATTCGATTAGAGAATGTTTCTGGCTAATGAAAGGGCGAACGGCAGTCAAATGTGCGCTGAGAAACTGCGTAGTTTGCAAGAAGTATCACGCTAAGCCAGTTAAACAGATGATGGCGAACCTACCTGCCGAGCGTATTGCCGACAACAAGCCACCCTTTACGTTCGTTGGTGTGGACTACTTTGGGCCTATCGATGTGAAGCAAGGAAGAAGTAGGGTAAAAAGATACGGGTGTATCCTGTCTCTTATACACATCTAGATGTGTATAAGAGACAGTTATTGCCTACTGCTTTGCAGAACAAATGGGCAAATGTAGCTCATGATATTTTAGAGAGTAGTGAACCCTGTCTCTTATACACATCTAGATGTGTATAAGAGACAGACGCATGGGTGTTGCGTTTCGTCGAGAGAATCAGTAACAAGACGAGACCTGTTCAAGATTGCAGCCTTTCTGTAGACGAGATTAAGAACAGCGAAACTAAGATACTTTCTTGGTTACAAAAAACTGAGCTCAGTCACTGGAAAACTGACAAGCGCCTGGCAAAATTAAATCCTGTTTTGATGGCTGACCTTTTAAGAGTAGGAGGCAGGATAAATCAAGCT